ACAATTTGATCCGGTGTTCGACCTTCCTTCTACTTCAAGCATGCAAATACCTAGAAATCGGACATTCTCATTCATTCGTAAAAGTAGGCATGTTCACAACAATAAGATAAGGATTACACTGATGGGACCCGCAGCACACATCGGTGTTCTCTATACGTGAAAGAGGCACTTCAAAATCTTTTAAAAGAGACAAACCTGGAAAAAGTGACTGGCCCAGTCCAGTGCACCAGTGTACTCGGCCTCATCTGCAAAAACCAGCAGCTCTGCTACAGTACCGTGGCTGGCTTTTGGGTCAAAGCGAGTGTCGATTTTGCGCGCGGGGGAAAAGGCTACCATCATTGACTGTCGCATCTCGCGCACCAGGTAAACGAATAGATCGCTCAGAAATTTCTATGAAGATGAAACGAAAGAAGTCAGTCTCAGCTGGGCCACACATATGCTTTGAAAATTTGGGATTAAATATAAAATCATAATGCCTCCCTCGGATTTTCAAGGACCGACCAGAGTGTTCCGGACACCAAAAGAGGGGTGATGTTTTACGGAGGCGAGACCCCTATCTCCGGACAACCCGATTCCAGGGGTGGTGAGCATTCCTTATAAAGAAAAGAACGCTCTTCCCGGAACTCAAGCCGATGTCTTCGAGTTCGGTTGCGTTACCACTCTAAGTAGCACTCAGACACGGACTACAGCTGCACACACCGAAGCGCATACACTGACGGCCCAGCCAAACGCTTGCCTATCTCAGTGGGCAGGGTCGGGAATAATAACCCAATTCCCTTTCGCTCCGGTGGGCTGCCAGCTGAGAGAAACACAAATACGAATATGCAAGGCACCCTAAGTCCCTGTAACGAGCCAGCGGATCTCTGAGGACCGCCTGACCGCCTAACCGATGGAACCTTCTCCACTTCAAGGTTCTCACTTGAATATTTGCTACAACCACCAAGATCTGCACCCGTGGCGGCTCCTCCCAGACTCACGCCCGTGGCTTCCAGGCTCACCACGGCGACCCTTCTACTCGCCACCTTCTCCTTGCCTGGATCATGACTTCGCAAAGCAGCGACCGATTGTTTTTCTTGCAACCGGCCATGCGCTGCTCGCACCACAAATATAGCCAGCGACCCACCTTGCGGTGACGGCCCGGTATAGGTCTCACGTTCCAGCGCCATCCATTTTCAGGGCTGATCAATTTGGCAGGTGAGTTGTAACACACTCCTTAGAAGATGCTGACTTCTCTGGCCACCGCCCTGCTGTTTATATTGACTAACACCTTTAGTGGTATCTCATGAGCGTCAGCGTCAGGCTCCTTAACCGGACGTTTGGTTCATCCCACAGAACCAGTTCTGCTAACAAAAAAGGCCCACTTGGCACTCACACATACAGCGCCCAACCCTCATAAAGTGAGCCGGGCATCTCACCCATTTAAAGTTTGAGAATAGGTTGAGCTCGTTTCGAACCCAGTACCTGTAATCATTCGCTATACCGGATAAAACTGATCATGCGAATGAGTGCCAGCTATCCTGAGTTAAACTTCGGATGGAACCAGCTACTAGATGGTTCGATTAGCCTTTCGCCCTTATGCTCACATTTGACGATCGATTTGCACGTCAGGATCGCGGCAGTCCTCCACCAAGGTTTCCTCTGGCTTCAATTTACGCAAGCATGGTTCACCATCTTTCGGGATTAAATATAAAAACTAGTGTGATGTGAAACGAACCACGGGCGGGGGGGGGGAAATACCTGAAATTCTTCCGGAGCTGTGAAAGGTTTCGAACGGAAGAACTTTTCCCGAACGAGATTCACGATAGGAAATTTGAGCTGCTCTTTCAATGCTGCGAACATTGAGCTCTCATTTACCAGGTACTGGATGTCCTGCAGTCTAAAATGTTTTAACAAATAGAGAACAAGTTTAGACAGTTATGAAAAGACAAAGAGAACGGGCACTATGGTCACATGGATGCACACATTCATT